AAAACACTTGCCATGCCTCTGACGAAATGTTTATATATAATGTATATGCTTTGTAAAGAAAAGAAAAAGAAAAAAAACTCAAATCAAATCACATGCTATTACGAAAAAGTCATAAATTTCAAAATACCCAGCCAATGAGAAGCGCCCACGTTTCCAACATATACGACAACGAAAGTTGAATTTGAAAATCTTTCTTGATTACAATAAAAACAACCCCCCACCCACCAAATTAGCGCTGTCTCATTGCTCTCTCCTGTTTCAAGTCTTCTGTGCATGTTCGATCCGACTATAGTGGCGATTCTGCAACTGCGAGTTCAACATTTTGAAGTTCTACCGAGCTGCGACTCTGTATGTAAATTAAGCGGTAATGGGGCGCCTTTTTGGGTTACGGAGTTTTGGGAGGGTTTCAGATGTTTGGTGGACTGGGATTTATTAGGTTTCATGTTTATTGTTTTTTAGCGGTATTCTGAACTTAATTTGCTTATTTCCTTGCTGGAAGTGGAAGATTAAGGGTTCTGTTGAGGAATTTGGAATTTAGGGTTTCCCTTCACTTGTGAGCACTGCGGGCTTGTTGAATTCTGAATGGAAATTTAAAGCTGTAATCTTAAGCTCAAATAATAGAGTTTTGTTGCATTTAGTCTTGGGGAAGCTGTATATGAAGAAATAGGGTTTGTATTGGGCGAAAAATGTTTTATTCACAGTTTATCTTGGCGAAGAAAGGTCCATTGGGGACTATATGGATAGCTGCTCATCTGGGAGGAAACTCCGAAAGAATCAGGTGGCGGACACGGATATCGGTGTTTCTGTTGGTTAGTACCTTTAAGTTTACGTGTACATAATTTATCTTTTTCCACTTGATAGAGAAATATCTTAGTCTTCATAAGGTTAGTTTACTATATACTGTGTGGATATGTTCTTCCTTTTTTGCTGAATCAGATTTACGTTTTTTGTTTTTGCTGTACTATGTTTAAACTGCAATCTTTTTTGGAGAGAGAAATGTATGATTTTACTTTAATACATGAAACATATTTACTTCATAATCGCTACCTTTTCAGTTATTCTGTCAAAGCTTCATTTTAATCAATTAGGATTTTGCATATTACCAATTTAGTTTTAGCAACTTTATGAGGAAGTAGTTGGGAAGAAAAATGTCCTTTCTTATTTGTCCTGTTAATATGCTCTTTTATTTACTTGTAATTTCACGTGTATTAAATCAACCACTGGGATTAGTGATGGTCATGCATACTTAGTTTTAAGTTTATTCAGTATTTCTAACATCTTGCTGAATAAAAGCAGTTTCAACTGTAAAACATAAATTAGTAGAAGAGGTATTTCTGAATTGGAAATTATAAACACCAGATTTACTTGGAAATCACCATGTTTGATGACATGAAACTTGTAAAACATGGTTTCTCTTGAAAATTATGGGGGCAGGGTGGATATGACAATAGTTTGATCCTATATGCATGTCTCTTGCCTACCGGTTTTTGAAACTGAAACTTCCATTCCAAAATTCCACTTTACATTTATTGAGAATTTTTTTTAAAGCTCATAGCATCCTCCTTTTTTCTATAACTTCATTTTTTTATGAATATGGCTTTGAACAGATTCTATTCTGTTTCCTGACGTGCCAATTGCGCTCCGATTGTCCAGTCATCTTCTTCTCGGAGTGGTGAGGATATATTCTAAAAAGGTGAATTACCTGTTTGATGATTGCAGTGAAGCCTTGCTTAAGATAAAGCAGGCGTTTCGCTCCACTGCAGTTGATTTACCACCCGAAGAATCGACCGCACCCTACCATTCGATCACTTTGCCGGAGACTTTTGACCTTGATGATTTTGAGCTGCCTGATAATGAAGTTTTTCAGGGGTTAGTTCCTAATTGGCTTTCTTGATTTATGTGTTGCCTTGGTCATATGAGTTTTCATTAGTTATCCACTATGTTACTTGGACTTGGGAGTGAGTGTCGGATATGGACTTGCAAAATGGGTATGGTTAGAATTTTTTCAGTTTTTCCATGTACGTGGAAGTTCTTTGGAGGGCATATCCCCATATTCACCTGTTGGGCACAATTGTCGGACAGGGATACTTCTAGTAAAATGAACAGTTCGAGCAACATAGGTTATCCGTAGATGTACTGTGCACTATAACGTGTAGCTTTGTTGGCAGTAACTATGTTGATCATCACATTAGCTCAAGAGAGCAGATTACTCTTCAAGATACCATGGATGGCGTGGTTTACTCCACATCACAATTTGGATTAGATGGTTAGTATGTGCTTTTGAATGTAAGGATTATTGATTTAACTACATTTGATTAGTAAATATGTAAATCTAAAATTCTAGATCTGATATACTTTCAGAACGGTTTGGTGATGGGGATGCTTCTCAGATTGGTTTCCTTGATGAGGTAATCTTGTCATTCCTGCTTCACTGACATTTTGTTGGAAAATTTGTCTGTAATAAGTGGGAGGCTTACTAATATAGGCAAGAATATCAGAATTTGGACTTTAATGGATGAAAAAATGTGATAAGTTTTGATGGTTGATTTACTGAAGTGAAACTTGGGTTTATGGCCAAAATTTGGTATGGAATTGGTTAGGATTTGATTGATGATTTAGGAATAAGAAGATGATTAAGACTTAGGCTATACAGGTGAATATCCTGCACCTAGGGTTGAGGTTGCCTTATACCATGCAAAAAAAGGCAGTGGCTACTGACATCATCACAAGCTTTTCTCCATTAAGTAGAAGAAGTTATATCTGTATTTTGGATTGAAGGACTCCTATCCTTTGAAGGAGTGAGATCCATGGTAGGACCTGGAACAAATTGATTTGCAACAATCCCTTTGAAACTACAGAAACAGAAATTAGTGTATTTGGTAGCTTTCTATCATAAGGAAATAAAAAAAAAGACTTGATATTGCGAGTTGTCCCTTAATTCAGTATATTATTTTTTTCTTAATTATTACAAAATTTTCGTTTTCGTGATTTTTAGATGGCATTTCTTGAGTACCTTATCATTTATGTCACTTTTTCTTTAGCAGAGATTCATTTTTTAGTTTGCGTTGATGGCGTGGAATCAGTTATGCGTAATTGCCTCTGAAGAGTAAATTATGTATTTAAACATTGGAGGGGATGGGTGTACTTCCTCCTTTCTTTGTCTCACTTGAAAATATTCTACTATTTCTTTTAGAGTGCTTTTGTTTTCTTCTGTAGAGTTATTTGGAATTTGAATTGGAACAAAAGGATTGTGATAATATTGCACAACGATAACTACTACTTTAGGGTTTTGGGCTAATGGGTTAGCTTATTTACCTTTTAGAAGGGAGGAGACCTTGATTATCCTAATATTGGAAGAGAAAAGTCAATGCGTGCTTAAAGCTTCCCAACTGGGATGGAATATTTTCTAACTCAACAAAGTTGTTCATACCAAGGGGTGTGCAAAACTCAATTCGACTAAAAAATTGTTTTTTAATTTCGAGTTATTCGAGTCAAATTATTTGAGTTAACTTGAATTAGTGGTATGGATTTTGAGTTTGAGTCAAGTTTGAATTTTAAAAGTTCGAATAATCGGAAACCCAAATATTAAAACTAAGTTGTTTTTTATCTTTAGATAAGTAATTCATTTGTTTTGTGTTTTGGTCCTGATTTCCTTAACTCCTTTGTACTCCCATTAATACTTTGACCTCAAAATCACTAGTTTAAAAATAACACTATAGATATATTATATAATTTTGGATGGTATTTGATTTACTAAATAACATTACAAATCTTATTGTGAAAAAGGATATGAAGAAATATATATGTTTATCATATATAGCTAGGGAGAGTCGCTTAAATTGAAACCAATTAGTACAATAATATTATAAATAGTTACAATTAAATTTGAATAGGAACTCAAAAACATATTTGTTTTGACTCAAACTTTATAAACTCGACTTGAGTTAAAGAATTTCAATAAAATTTGAATGATAAAATAATACTCATCAACGCAACTAACATGATTTCATTTCACTTGATTCAACTTAACTCGATTGAATACTCACCCCTATTCATACCTATTGAAATGAAGAAATATGAAACTAACTAGAAGGAAAACCACTAGGAGTAGAATGATTTGTGCCTGTTGCAAAATATTTGTCTCCACGAGGAAGTGGCTTTTTAGAGAACAACAGTAATGAGATGAAGGAAGAGCTAAAGAGAAAATTAGCTTGTTTAAACTGACAGTACTTGTAGATGGGGATGAAGTAGGATAAATGCATATCCTTTCCTTAAATACAATTAGAATTGCATATTGCCTTTTAGGTATGGGGATGAAGTGGGTCCATTTACTGAAGCGCTTTCATAGATGGATTGAACAATCAATAACTCTTATCACTTGGTTTTTGAAGTTGAAATGTGTGCCCTGCCTTTAAATTGCTTAATGGATGGTTTTGTTCATGGCCCTTCAAATCTGATATAAACCCTGAATGGAGGGTTAATATTAAGTTTGTCTTCTCAATGAGTTAGCTGATCTTTTTTTCTTACTTTTGCTTGGTGATTTTTTCTCTTACAGTAATCATTGACTGAAAATTCTTATCTTGGTTTAATTTTGAGCAGGAGCTAGTCCTAGATAAGGTTGCAGTGCCAGTAGATGGTGGAGCTTCCTTGTAAGCTTGATATATTATATATAATCCCTAATCTTTCTCCAATTGTATTGTATATTAAATGCTCACAGCCTCGTACACTCTTTTGCCTTATTTCCCCTTCAATCATTAATAATTGCCACATTAACAGTTATTATCATTAATTTCACTGGTTAGTATATGCAACCATTAAATTATCTGACTAGCCTCACCTGTTTGTCATTACAGGCATGACCTTCAAGGGTCAGATGTACCAGAGAAACAAGACCCAACTAATTTAGAAGCTGCGCCAATCAGTTGCATTGAGAATCAGGTTTGTTGTTTCAACCCAGTAAATAATTTATTTTTAAATCTTTTTTTATCTATCTTGCGGCAGCAGTTCATGCTCTAGCCTTTTTAAATTCTGAATTCGGAGAGTATGATCAGGATCTAGGTACTCCTGTGCCAGAGGAAGTTCATAACTTGTCTGCCGTTCATGATGCACTGGCTGGTGGTGACCATGTAGAACCAGAACATCACGATTATATAGAATTGGACAGTTCTGAATGTGTGGAAAATGCTTCTAATAAATCAATTCGTTCCCATGGAGATGAAAACCCAGTGGATCAGTCTTTGCAAACTGATCTAAATTGTGATGCTATAATTAGTATTATTTCTTATGATGGCTGCTATATTGGAAATATTGAGAAAGAACATACTAGACCACAAGTAAATTCTCTCCATGATGCCATGCCTATGGAGTTCAAATCTGCTGTTAGGACTACTGGAGGACCTGATGGGTTGGATAGAGTGGAAGATATGCATTACGGTGTCATGCACTCTAGGGATAGAACTGATGGTGAATATGCAGAATCTCCTAGCTGCTCCAATGTCACCTTTGATTTGGAAGACCCTGCTCGAAGAACATGTTCAAGTAGTACCTGTGCACCCACATCAGACGGCAGCTATTTGGAGAATGATCAAGCATCACATAAGTCTGAATTTGCCAATGATACTGAAACCTTCAATAATTTGGAGGAGTCATGCTCACCTTCCAACGCAATACCTTCAAATCCTTCCCGTTCATTTGAATTTCCCAGTAGACCAACAGTTGTTGATGGTGAAGTGCAAGCTTGTCAGGAACCAACACATGAAGATGTCCCGTCTATTCCAGTTCTTGGATCTAAGAATTCGGTTTTGGCAGAGCAAAACTTGGTCAATCTGTCCAAAAGGGAGGAGGAATTTCATCCTTCTGGAGCTTCCACTGAGGTGCAAGGTTTGTTTTACCAGTCTTATGCATGTAGCTTTACATAGATGGTCTTGTTTTCCCTCTCTATATGTAAATATTATCCACGACATTATTATTATTTGATTTTATCATCATGACCTTATATTGGATTTTTTCTCATTTATGTAAATATTATCTTTGCAGATGAAGCCTGCCAAACTCAGATGTCAGAACCTACTTTATGTGATGATCAGTTGGAAAATTCAAATAATTGTGCTATGTCCGATTTGCCTGCACCTGAAAAGTTACTCTCTGCACCGGAAGGGCCTATTGATAAACCAAGTGATTTACTGAGTGAGTCTACCCTAGACAAAGAGGTTTCAGAAGGGCATGGTGAAGTCGAGGCTGGAACCAAATTCATTTCAGGCAAAAAGCGAAGTATAACTGAAAGTACAATTACTGTCGAAAGTATAAACTCAGTTGAATCATTTAGAAGGCCACAATTCAGAACTGCAGAATCGATTCCTGATGATGATGACTTTTTGTCTTCTATTTTAGGTAGCAGCATTTTTACTCTAATGAACTATTATCTGCCATCCATTAATTTACTAGAACAACTGGATTTGGATAATTTTCACTCTAGGTTATTGAACTTATCATCATTTTTATGTAGGTTACAAATCTTTAATTTATCAAGTTATATCACTAAACCTCTATTATTGATAAACTAGGTCACTTGTGCCAACTTTTAGGTAATTCTAATGGAAAAGTTGACTTAGCATGCATATCTGCATAGCTTAGTTTTACATGTCATCAAGATAATGCCTAGCAGGCGTTTTAGGCAACAAAAAAAAATCCAGTTGCCATTGTGGGTCCATTTTGGAAAACAACTCAAATGGTTTTGTTGGTAAAAGAAGCCATAATTTTTTAGGCATTGTCTTGATAAGATGTAAAAAAAAGTTTTGTATGCATACCATCACTTTTTGTATTAAAAATCCTGAATAGAAGTAGATAAGTAACCTAATTTGTTAACAATACAAGTTCAGTGATGTGTTTTTTTTCCCTAATGAATTTGAAGTTCTATGATAGCTCTGAAGGGTGATACTAAGTTCAATGACCTAGATTGTAAACTATCACATGGATTGCAAGGTTCATAAAGAATATTTTTACAAATGAACTTAATTTGTCATTGCCTCAGTTGGACGATCTTCAGTTTTCAAAATGAAACCAACTCCTCCCCTTGAAGTAGCATCATTGAAACGCCCACGAACTGCACCAAGACCTAGTGCCTTCAAGAGAAAAGTGTTTATGGATGATACTATGGTCTTACATGGCGAGTATGTTATTAAGGTTTTATTTATTTATTTTTATCTTTTATATCTCGCTAGTTGATGTTTATTCTTTTCTCAAATGCACTTGGAATTTGATAAACTTGACTTGATAATATTAACTGTCAATACAAACATGTTCTGTTTTTGTTGAGCTTCACTGTTTTTGATTTTATAAATTAAAAATTGTCAATGAAATTTTGCGCATTGAAATTTCTATCCTTCCATGTTTCTTTTAACATACATAGAGATTTTCCAAGAGGAACTTTGTCTGAATGATGTTGAACACTTGATTACATACTGATTGTAAAATATAACAATTCATTTGTAGCATGCTATATGTGGTTTACATTCCAGTGCCTGGCTTAAGATATAATGAGTTTGTGTTTCTTTCTAGTCAGGTCGGTACATAATGAAATAATAATGAATGGAATTTGTTCTGATTAATTGAATCATAGAAGGTGTTTTCTTTTTATTGTTTTTCTTTCTTCAATCTGCATTTTAATTTTTTTCCGTTGTAGTCAACTACTAATTAGTTTGCTTTTTTCCCTATCAAGTACAATACGTCAGCAGTTGGTTAATACTGAAGACATTCGTCGTATACGTAAGAAAGCGCCTTGCACTCGCCCTGAAATTTCATTGATTCAGAGACATTTCTTGGAAGATGAAATATTTAGTGAACCTATATTTACTGGTGAGATCAAAGTGCTGGAATATCACTGCATCTGAATGCTTTTGTTGGATCTCTCTCTCTCGCTCTCTCTCTCTCTCTCTCTCTATATATATATATATATATATATATATTTGAAGAAATGAAAATTTTCAACTTGTTAGTTGATTGAAATGGTCCTAAAAAATCATTGTTGTTGTTTGAGTATTGTAATGTACTGAGTGGGAATAGAGGGAGAATGATGAACTGCTGCATGTAAACCCCACCCCATATATTACAACACTAAAAAGAGAAAATTTTACTGATAAAAAATTTGAGTGTATCTCCTCTAGGTGCTGGTCAAATTGGTTTTGCTTTAACTGAGCTAAGTTATAACTTACTCTAGATGTTTGTCTAATCTAGGGCATCCACAGGCCCTAGTGAGAAGAAGCTGCCTACTTCTACATTTGTTTTTCCTATCATGCACCATTAACCACATTTCTGTAGACGCAACTGGTATATTTAGATGTTGGTTCAGTTTTGTTGTATCGATGTCATATGCATGAATGCACACTCAAGTTCTTAAATTGTATAGAGTAAAAGATTTATCAGTGATCTATCCTAATGGTTATGAATCTAATTGTTATATTATTTGTTGCTTCATAAAATTCTGCTTCTGATAATCAAGGACTTCGTACTGCATTCATTTTAACTTTTAAGTTGCTAACTGCTGGTTTACCTTTCAGATGTATCACGTGACCTTGCATATTTGCACAGTGGACCCTATGACCTAAGTGGTATCAGGATTTCTGAAGGTGATGAAATCCATGCATCATCTGAAGTAGCTAAGGATTCAGGGTGCTCTAAAAGACCTAATATTGCTGAAGAAGGTGAAATTGAAGGGAGGTCTGTGCCTGTGATGAATGGAAATGATGAACAGACACTATCTGCTGAAACTCCTATTCGGACTAATATGCAGCAGGGTCAGTCCAGTGGTCTGAAGCAGGACAGGATTGTTATTGATGACGTGCCTCAACTACTGCATCATGAACCTTTAGATGGGATCACAGGAATGGAAATTGACAGAGATAATGTCGAAGTTGCTTCTGTGGCTAAGTACTCAGTTCTGAACGAGTCCGAAATACCATCCTATTCTAATCTAGCTTCTAAAGATATTAGTAATATGACAGCTGCAGAGACAACCAACAGTGTAGATGGTTTTATCTTAAACAATGCAACGGATATTCCTCCGGATCAGAAAATGAATTCTCAACCTGTGGAGGATGCTTCAGAATTGGATATGACAAATGAAAATGGAACCAATCTTACTGAAGTTTTAGAACGTGGTGTTCAGAGTATTAATGAAGGTGAAACTGAATCAAAATTATTGGACGAAAGTAAAGCCACAGTTGAGGTCAATCTAGCAAACTACTGTGTACCTATTCAAGATGGAACCAATTCTCTTGCAATTGTACAAACTGGTGAGCTAGTACAAACTGGTGAGCTAGTGAATGGTTCTCAAATTGCATCTGAAACTGGATATGATAAAGTTGGTGTAGTAGATGAAGCTCAAGTTGAGGGTGCACTCTTGGATCATGATGTCAAGGACCCTATCTGTAAGGGTAGTGAAGAAAGAAAAATGGATTCTACATATTCTGAAAAGGTTGCTTCACTAAATGATGGAGAAACTCTAGTCTTTTGGGAAGTTAATGCAGTCAATGAAGAAATGACCTCTCTTGTGGATAATCAAGCTGTAAGTTCTCTAACGCACGTAGCATGTTAGTGTTGATCTCAAAATATTAAGTGCTCTAACTTCTCTCTAACTAATTAGTAATTTTTAATCTTGAATGAATTCAAATTTTGCTCTAGTAATAGAAAGTAAAAAATAATTAGGATAGTGGATATTCATGCGCCAGCATTGGGATTTTTCCATTATTACCTTAAATATTTTCTTATTACTGTTTAATATATTTTTTTGGATAGAAATAGAGTAGGCCTCATTAAAAAATCCCTTCCTAACCTCCATGCTACAACATTACTGTTTAATATTTAACTTGTTTCTATTCTAGAAAGCATGGTGGACGTTTTAAAGTTCTGAGAACTATTCCATTCCTCAATGTTTAGTCAATGTGCTATTTTTTTCATTAATTTAGTATGTTATTATGAAACTTTTTTTTTTGCATTAGCCTTCCTTATTTTGTTTCAAGGCTATAAGAATCCGCTAAATTACTATTTGGCCCTCTAGATGCAGGAACTTGAGAATGTTGCAGTTGCCGATGATACAGGTTTGATCTTATTGCCTTATGGTTTGCTTTTACTTTTTTGTGTTGAATGGTATATTGGGTGTTTATGCTTTGAAGTGAAAAGTTGAAAAAAGCTCAATGGAAAATTAGACCATAAAACACTTTATAGAAAATGCAAATGAAATTGTATCGACCAGGAAAATGACTTACATTACCAATGTATTTTGCACCAACTAAACACCGGAAAATGAGTAAAACGTTTTCCGTAAAATGAATTATATGAAACAAATAAAACCTAAATACCATATATTAATCCTAAGATTTAGAATACAAAGCTGTAACAGTAGTGAGTAGACAGGGTGGACCATTGATAGGACCACTAGGCTATGGTCTCTTGAAAGGTTTCTCCCAAAAGAACATTTTAAAAATTTTCTTAAAAAATATATATATATTTTTTTCTATTACTTATATCTGTCTTTTTCCAAGGAAAATGACTTGGGTTTATAGGCATATCTGTTTTCAGGGTATCTTCTCCCTCCCCCAACTTAATCAATCTTGACTCTGCTGCTATTGGTTAATGTTTGTTTTCTTTATCATCCCATTCAGGATTTCTGAATGTAGATGACGAAGAGCTATGCGAGGATGATGATGGCATGCCATGTGGTGATGAAAGTCGTCTTCTTGAAAATAGTGGATGGTCTTCTCGCACAAGGTCTATAATCTCCCAATGGTCGATTATTTTAGCTGCTGTGTACCTCTTTAATTTTATCATTGTTTAACTTTACATGTAAAAATAATTTCTTAACCTGAAATATCTGGAATGTGGGTAGCTCGCATCTTTACGTTTTCTCATACCCGTTTTTTCAGAGCTGTTGCCAAGTATCTCCAGAATTTACTGGTGGATGAAGCTGTACATGGATGTAAGGTTCTTTCTATGGAAAATCTTTTGGATCATAAGACACGTAAAGAAGCATCAAGGATGTTTTTTGAAACCCTGGTATGTCTACTTTTAACTTGTCTTGAACTAACTTTTTAAAGAGCTTAGCACTATCCATCTACAGAATATTTGCAAGATGGATATTTTTGCGTAGAAAACTTTGAATGTAAATTTAGTCGAAAGCTCCATTCTTTCTCTTTATTTTCTTTTCTTTTCTTTTGATAATATAAAATTTCTGCATAAGTACTAATGTACAAATACACAACTTCTGCATCACTACTACCAATACAAAATAATGTTCTCATTTAAACACATATTGCCACTTTTGGAGACCTTTCAACAGATGCAAGTGAAAATATTCGGGCATTATCGTGAAGCAGGATGATCAATATCAAGGATAAAAAGTTGAATATTGAAAAATAACTGTAACTTGCATGTAGGAAGTGCACTGCAATGCATAATTTGTTTTTGTATGTGCACGACAATGAGATGGATGGAAATTAATGTGATTCTGTCCGTTGTTTCTGGGTGTTAATTTCCTGGTCTGCAGGTTCTGAAGACAAGAGATTACATCCATGTAGAACAGGAGAAACCCTTTGACAACATATGTATAAAGGCTCGAGCAAAGCTCATGAAATCGGAATTCTGAACTGATCTCACCTTCCAAAAGAAGGAAAAAAAGCAGATACTGTGAAAAGATGACGTGTTGTAGTTCTAGTTCTGATGAACGGTCCACATCAGGTAACTATATTGTTCCAAAATGGTAGCTGTTTTTCTATTTTTATTATATTTTTTAAAAATAGTTGCTCCAAATTGGGTAGCCATAACAGTGGGAGAGAAGGAGGGATGGCAAGTGGGATGTTGTTGATTGTTACTACGAACTGTAGGTGGATGATAACTGTTTGTGTAAAACATGTCAATTTACAATTGAAGATGCTAATTGATTTATTTGGTTCGACTGCTGCTATTGAATCTTTCCTTGAGATTCACATGTATTAGAGTTCAGTTACTTCTTGCATGGAAAGAATGGTGGTATACTGTTTTACATTGAGAATCTATTCTAGAAATAAGCGAATAGAAGTGTTCATGGATCGAGTTGTAATTTGAAATTTTTTAGTCGAGTTTGGCTCGAGTTTAATCTCGAACTGACGAAATGGTTTCTTTTGCCATTCAAAAAATATTTATACGATTTTATAATTAAATATATGTGATAATTATTTTTTGGAAATACTGTAATAAATGTTTTTTTAAATAATATAATAATTATTAATTAATAAAATATAATTTGAGTCAAGTAGATCTATAAAAATTGGAAAAGTTGTACCCCAAACCTGACGGTCGGTAGTATGGATGTGTTTTAATGTATCTTTTGTTTTTCTCTTTTATATATATATTAGATAAGATCTATTTACAAAATGTAAAACATTTTAGTTTTACACAAATTTAAAACAATTGTATAAGTGAAAATAGATGTTTGAGATATAAAATAATTCGACTCGACTAAAAAAGTTTTAAGTTAAGTTAGAGTTATAAAATACAAATCGAGTTATAAAATCGAATAACTCAATTTTTGACTCAACTCGACATAACCCTCACCCCTAGTTTATGTAGTGGTTGATTTCCTTATCATACATGAATTTGCATTAAGTTTTAACTAAAACTACGTACTACAATTAACTTTATTTTTTAGGGGTATGCATTATATTTTGTTAGTCACATTAGAAATGAACAATATTCAATTAGTCAATACAATGTATATGTTTTATTCATGAAGAATAATGTAGGTTTATTGAATCGAAAAAAATCTCTTTAAATTAATAAATTATTAATTTATCGATGAATTAATACCTCGTTAAATTAATAAAATTACGTAGTTCCAGACTCCCAACATTATTAATTTCTAGTAATAAAATTCATAGTCCCAGGCTCCCAACATTATTAATTTCTAAAGATTTTACTGTATATATATAAAATTTTGATATTATAAAATTATTCAAATTATAATTTGATTATCTTATATGAAATAAAATAATTATTAAATAAAACAAGTTAAATATGTTTATAAGTGTGTCGAGAGATAAAGATTAGCAAATTTTAAATTAATTAACAGTATTTTTAATCTTGGTTAAATCTTCTCTTTTATCCAAAAGATAAAGTAAAAGAAAGTAATGCAAACAGAAACATATAGAATTACAATCATATTATTAGACAAAATGAGCATGACCGCTCAAGGCTTAACTATTATATATAGCAATCTTCCCTTTAAAGAGAAGGTAACTTACCACAGTTTGACCATACAAAGATGGGGCGATGAAGGCAACTTGATTGCCAAAAATGCTGATTTGGTCCTGAGGTCCAGCCACATTCGAGAACCACATGGTTGCTGATGGGAAAGTGGCCAGCTGCCATTAATGTACAATCAATATATTTCCTTGTCAATACCCTTATTTTGTGTGGGTGTGGTTTTCCTTTGTATTAAAGTTTTTTTATTAAACAAACGTAAAAGGGTAATGGAGAATGAACAATATCCTACTTTGGTAGGATAAAACATTACAAAAACCTTTGCCATAAACAGTCTGAATTTAGCTTCCAGAGTAGCCTTTTTCCTACCCATTGTTGCTTTGGCATCTTTAATGTAATCCAATGGGTTATCCTTCAATGCAATTTTTAAAGGGAAGTTTACATAACCGATCTTGTTCCCCCACTCGGCTTTGCTATTCTTCTTCACCATTTCTTCCAAGGCCTGTAAATTACTTACAATGAGATTCAATAAAATAAATGAAAAGAAAACTACTAAATGAGTAATTACATAAACCCCTGGAGATGATCTCATGTTGATGAACAGAGTTGCTGTAAGACGAATGCTATCGGGAAGGTTGCTTTCCCCTTCTCTTGCTTCTCCATTATCACCCTTGGCTTTGCTTGTCACATCATATACAATTATTTACTATGGATATCAAGTTACGGCAGTTTTACAGAAAGGAGAACAGTTTTACTGTACTCGTCTAGTTGAACAGTTATGTGTTATTTTGCAACCTTGATTACCATATTTTCGGTTGAGATATGTAGACAAGCCAGCCTGAGTGATCGCTAGCATCACGTCGTTCACCGTCTGCAATGGAAACACATTTTAGCTCTCCATGAAGAATTTACAAAGGAAATGTGTTTTTTGTTAACCAAAAGAAAAAACGGGGAAACGGTGGACTAACCGTGTTGGTTGCATTCTTCACCGATTTGACATCATCCAAACAGAAAGTTCGACGCACGATTCTCCGAGAAGTAAAAGCAACACTACTTGAAGGTGCTTTGAGGGGTGTTTGGGTGTCTTTCAAAAAGTAGGTTGTTGCCACACACATGCATATATCAACCAAAGTGTTCCACATTAACAACAAAAGAGACCAACATATCCAAAACAATCCAGTGCCGCTGGATGTCGGTTTCTTCATCACCGGGAAACTCGGCAAAGCATCGGAGCAAGAGATTAGGAGTGACATGAGAGATGTTCCATCGCCAAGGGAGTGATGAACTCGAATAACCAGTGTGGATTCAGCGTCAGAGGTTTTTAGGTTTAAATTATGGCAATCCCATATGGGAATGGACTTGCTAATCTGTGTCTTGCTAAGGTTGGAAATGTAATCTTCGACAAACATATCAGGGGGAGACCATATCTTGATCAACCATAGGGACCTTAACATGTTTATCTATGTCTACCTTTGTTTTCACCCATTTCATTTCTCCACCCTATGCTACCTGCTGGATTTGTTTTTAAAATTAATTCACAAATTTATGTGAAAGAAATGGGTTGAATGAAGTTGTAAACAGTTTACCTGCACACTAGAGAAGCGAGGATGCTTAACAATAGTGTCCACCAAGTTGGCTTTGAAACTGTGTGGGTTGATGGAGCTCTTAAACCCCACAATGAGAATAACGTACACGTTGGATTCAGGCTCATGGAACATACGAGCCATGGGACTCAATGGCTCCTCCTCCTCTTCCTTTTCCGCTTCAGTTTCTTTTCTCACTTTGATTTCATTAAGGCCAAGATGAACTCTTGATCTTAAAACACCGCTATTCAAATGTTCTGTTGCGGAAGACGACTATTGGATAAAACAAAAATGCAACTGATAATTTGAGAAAATAAAAATTGAAGATAAAAGAGACACAAAATTTACGTGGAAAACCCCTAAATAATATAGGGTAAAAACTACGGGCAACGGTAGAAGAATTTCACTATGAGAAAAATAGGAATTACAACCTCTCTCGATCTACCAAGGAGAAAACAATTATAATTCTCTCTTGATAAAAAGGAGAAAACAACTCTCAAGAACTCTCTAAATTCTCTCTAGTATTGGAAGAAAGCTAGAATGCTTTAGGATAGTTTTGAAGCTAAATGAGCTAGGGTATTTATAGTTGAAACTTAAGGACTAATTTGTAAATACCCTAAATTACAATGACTAAAATTGTGTTTTTACCATTGTCCAATTTCAACTAAAACCCAACCACTTTTCGGTGCCCTCCCAATTGTTTGACAATTTTAATATTTTTTTAATTATAACTTTCCACCTTTAGGTGGAATGCAACAATTTTCAACAATCTCCCACTTGAAGATTTGATTGGAACAATCATATCTTCACACCATTCTTTCTACCTTGTACCTTCATGTTGCTTACGTTTCTGACAGGCCACAGGAGGATCGACACCAAGTAAATTTATCAGCATTGATTGCCTTTGTCATGAAATCTGCTATGTTGTCATTGGTATGGATCTTCTGCATATATATCGTCCCTTCTTCCACCTTTTCACGAATGAAATGGTATTGAACTCGTATGTGTTTTGTCCTTGAATGAAATGTTGGATTCCTTGCTAGATGCAAGGCGCTTTGATTGTCACAAAACAAAGAGACAAACTCTTGATTGTGCCCAAGCTCCTCCAATAGCATCTTCAACCAAATTGCTTCTTTACTGGCTTGTGTAGCTGCTACATATTCTGCCTCTGTTGTGAATGTAGCCACAACTGACTGCAATTTTGAAACCCAGCTTATATCTCCACCAGTAACTTTGAACACATATCCTGTAGTAGATTTGCTTTTATCCAAATCCCCTGCATAGTCAGAATCGACATACCCATTTATAAGTAAGTTTGATCCTCCGTAACATAATGCAACATTTGAGGTCCCTTTGATGTATCTTAGGATCCTCTTTACAATATTCCAATGCTCATTGCCTGGATTCGCCATGTACCGACTAACCACTCCCACTGCTTGTGCAATGTCTGGTCTTGTGCATATCATAGCGAACATTAAACTTCTCACTGCTGATGCACACGGCACTCGAGACATCTACATCCTCTCTTCTTCACTGCTAGGACTCATACTGGAGGATAATTTGAAGAAGAGGGGTAGAAATTGGCTTACAATCTTGCATGTTGAATCTTGGCAGATCTTCTTCAAGTAATTCTTTTGTGAAAGCCAAATCTTCCTATTACTTCTGTCTCGGTGAATTTGCATCCCTAGAATCTTGTTTGCTGATCCCAAGTCCTTCATTTCAAATTCCCTAGCCAATTGTGCCTTCAATTCTTCAATATGATCTTTGTTGGGTTCTGTAACCAACATGTCATCTACATACAACAACAATATAACAAAATCGTTATCACCAGACCTCTTGAAATAAGCACAAGGGTCTGCATTAAGTCTGTTGTATCCAAGGCACATAATGAAGGAATCAAATATCTTATACCAACACCTCGGCGCCTGCTTTAGATCGTACAGAGATTTGTTCAACATGCAAACCAAGTTCTTCTTTTCTTTTTCTTCAAAACCTTCAGGCTGGAGCATGTAAATCTCTTCTTCAAGATTTTCATGAAGAAAAACTATTTTAACATCTAGTTGCTCTAGATGTAAGTTCAATGTAGCACATATTACCAAGACTACTCGAATTGTTATTAGTCGA